TGGATCCGTCATGGGCTTTGCAACAAATTCCGGCGATGCCATCCGCGAAATCGCTTGGATGATCCCCAAGTGGATTGATTGGTCATGGGGAGCATCGAAAAGGGGAAACCCACAGAATTCGATCTGGGTAATTGTCAGGTAATCCAACACTAAGATGGCCATGTTTAACCATGTTGATCCCAAGTCACCATTTTATCTGGGTAAATTTCATCACGACCGAAGCCTGTTCTCCCGAAGCCTGGAATCATGGTGAATGTATAGGGAAATCATCCCCTTTTATGGCCGCAAGATTCAGGTTAGTGAAATATTATAATTTACCCAGATGATTGTTCAGACTGAAAGTGATCAAAATCTTGGTCGTGAACAGCTAAACCAAGAGGTTTCCACAGCAAAAGGGGGTGACCCCCAGTCATCCATTTAAAATGTCCCAATTTTTTCCATGAAATCATTGAAATCACCCATCCAAAGCTCGCGAAGAAACCCCCATGACTGGAAGCTCTTGTCAGGCCGGAGCAAAGATCTTCGGAGTGTGATTTGGCAAAGATCCAACTAATTGGATGAGAATGGGGAGTGGATGGAGTGGTAGTGGGGATATTATTAGAATAAAAACGGGTTTATTTCATTAGGTTGAATTGATGTATATCTGTTTTCATGGATTTTCATGGTTTTTCTTTCACCAGCCATAAATAGGTATTTATTGGGAATATCATGGGCGATGGGATATTACTCTCTGGTAATCAAACATGGACCCGAAAACCCCCCCTATAGTTGTATGATTTTCCCAGCTAGAAACCTCTATTTAGTTCAGGGATTTCCTATTGCCAGGTTTGACTACTGGAGGTTACCCTCTAGTGAGATTTGAAAAGGTGTAAGAAAAAATTGCAGGAAACCCTCATGGAGCTAATTAACTAAAGGGCTAATATCCCATCATACTGTGGACGGAAGGAATCCTGCAAAAATTGCTAACTATGTGTAACCAGTGTTTCACTGTAAATAGTGGGATTACAATGGGATAAACCATCTACCAACTGGTCCAGGATTTCGCAACCATCCAGAGTACAAGATTCCCATAGAATATTCCCTTTATATGTCCAGGGTATCCCTGCTGTATCCCCTTGTCATCAACAAATCCCAGGCATCTGCGACACAAGCTCTTCTTCGGGCCTCCATTTTACGTCCGGGGGCCTGCTTTCTCCAGAAATGGTCAGCATGGTCACCCCCTTTGGGCCAAATTGAAGAAAGAAAAAATCGGTTAAGCATCCATTTTTTTGAAGGGTACCATACTATGGTACACAATTTGAGGGTACCATCCAAAGTTTTGGGTAATCGGGTCACCATCCATTTTCAGTACCCAATTTTGACCCATCAACATCTCCCTGCGCAGGAAATGTTGACGGCTCGGCAGCATGGCGAACCCCCATCTCCTTACACAGAGCCTTGGCAGCAACCACTGAAGGCTTATTCAACAGCAGGGGTCATTTGTGGGATCTCACCAGCTGATCAGGCTTATCATTTGTCGTTTTTTCAAAGGAATATCAGGAATAGGTGCAAAATGTTGGCGACCTGCAAAAATGCTGAAGCTAAATGGTCTTTGGTTGATGGTGAAGTATGGGCTCTCTAAGTTCTTCATGGGGAGTGTGGACTAATCGAGCTATGGCTATGATCGGTTCATGGGTAAGATCCAGGAACAGAGCTGGTCTGGTGTGAAAACTAGGGGACTGATGGTCTCCAAGAGATGTCGCATATTTTTGAGGAGGCTAACCACCAGATTCTTATTCGCCATGATAGAAAATCCCTTTGGAAGGCACCAGAATCTGTGGGTAATGGCGAGTTTTTTCTCCCTGAGATGTCTGAAATCACGCCGAATCTTCGGTTTGAAGCCACTGCGAAGTATGAGGTTGGCTCCAAATTGGGAACCCCAAAACTTACTGGTGCTTAGTAGGGAATGGATGGGAATGGGGGAATGGGATGATTATTACTAGTGATTCTGGATCATTCCCTACGTTTCGCACCAGTAAGAAAATCCCCATGGGTCGTTTTTTCCCCTGTGTTAAGGTCCAACCCTATCTGGCACGCAAGGCCCAAATGACACATCATGGGGATCCCTTGATATACCCTCCGGTAAACTAACAGTTTGCTAGTGAAAATGGCCCAGTCGAAATAGTGAATTTTCCCATGAAAAATGGTGGATCTTTCCAGTTCGCTATGTTAGTCATTACCAGAGGGTATAATCATGTATGATCTCTAGAACTTCTACCAGGTTTTTGTTGATCATTTTGGAGATGGTTTATGGTCACTATATTCACTATTCATAGTCCAGACTTTCTCCTCCAGCAGCTTTTTGAGGCCTGGTATTTCAGCTCCGATCCAGTGGCCAGCCATTTCCCCGACAACCTTTGGCAGCCGCCCTTTTGGGATTCTGGCCCCGAGTCGCTCGTGCAAAATGTGTGGTTTCTATGCCATACAAGGTGGTGCCCCCCAGTTATAAGTTGGTTTATAACCTCTATTAACTATAGATATATCTACCATAAACCATAGTTATTGAAGTTATAAACCAACTTAGCTAACTATAGGGCACCACCTTGTATCCAGTTACATCCCAATCTCCACTATATCCCAATACATCCAAGTCTGTAAATCTACAGGATGGGGCCAAGATAGCGTTCAGTTGGTTTATAAGTGGCTGAATTCTATGGTGTATGGTAGATATAACGAACTAGTTAATGGAGGGTATAATGGTTTATAAACCAACTTATAACTGGGGGGGGCACCCTGTATAAATAGATCTATAAACCTGGTAGAACTATGAATAGTGAATATAGTGACCATAAACCATCTCCAAAATGATCAACAAAAACCTGGTAGAAGTTCTAGAGATCATACATGATTATACCCTCTGGTAATGACTAACATAGCGAACTGGAAAACCACCATTTTTAATGGGTAAATCCACTATAAATGGCCATTTTCAATAGCAAACTGTTAGTTTTACCGGAGGGTACACCATTTTTTTCAGCCATAAACCATCTCCAATATGACCAGACCTGGCCACTGGCAACCAGGTGTGACTCCGATCGACGCTCCTGGCATCAGAGCTTGTTGGGAGCCTTGATCCCCCAACGGCTCGTGGATGGTGAGCCGTTTGGTGAGCGAAAATCCTCTACAAATGTGGGATAACTATAACATGACATACTGCTGGTTGGTGGTGACTGGAACCATGGGATTTGGAATGACTTTCCAGTCAGTTGGGAATGGAATAATCATCCCAACTGACTTTCACTCCATCATTTTTCAGAGGGGTAGGTATACCACCAACCAGATAGTAATACGGATAGTCTTGGATTTCGTCGGTTGCGTTTTCCCAATAGATCCACGACTGGGGACTCTGACTAGATCGGAACCCATCGCAACCCATCGCGTGCCAAAATGACATGTGTTGTTGTGTTTTTTGATCAGATTCACCAGTTCGTAGGTGTAAACAAACCCAACTGGGAGTAAAATGTTCCGAAGATTAGGATAGAACTCAACCACAGTAGTTTGGGATGGCTTCTAACCCTGCCCTGGATGATCGATCTCGGTGAACGAACAATTTTGGACTGCAACCATTTGCTAATTCACATACAGCCCTTCAACCATTCATTTTTTGGCAGTTCTCAACATTCACACTGGCTTCAATGCAGGATGTGAATCCAAAGTTGCTGGTGAAGCTGGTAAACTCACATAGAACTGGAAAATAGCCAGAAAAAAAAGGTGATTTACCTGATTTTACCCGTTGAGCATCCTGTCTTTCCATCGTTATTTTATGATCTCGGGCGAGGCGCTATCAACATGGCCCGGCCTTCCACTTTGAGCCGGGGCCGCCGGGGGATCAAAATCGCTGCTGTTTAATGTCATAAGTTATGGTATCAGCAACCACAACCATTGGGATTTCTAGGGAGATTCTTTTTTGGGATTTCTAACTTGGGGAATGTCTAAGGAGGTTGGATGAAAAAAATACGGATCAATGGAGAATCATCCCCTTTTTTGGATGGCCCTATGCTAAGCGTTTCAGGTGATGAAATTCAGCATATATCGAACTAGTTCATGGTTAACCAAGTTAAATTCAGGCTGGGTCGATTTTTTTTGGATCGCAAAAGCGACATTTTTTTGTTCCATCAATTTGGAAACATGATGAACATCCATTGGATTTACCGGCTGTGAACAACCAGGCGACCATCCAAGATTCAGCAATTTTCGGAGATCCTCGCTGAATATCCCAGGTCCAAGCGCGGCGAAGTACCGCACGGACCTGGTGATGAAGCGGCTGCACGTACCTGGTGGTGTCCAAGCCTCGATCGGGTGGAGCCACAATATCTGCTTGGTGCTTTTTGAGGCTTTAGGGATTATTCAAATTCATGGTTAATACTGGTTAATGGTGAATTAGTAGTAACTGCTTGGTGGTGACTGGAACCATGGAATTTTATGACTTTCCATTCAGTTGGGAATAATCATCATCCCAACTGACGAACTCCATCATTTTTCAGAGGGGTTCAAGCCACCAACCAGATAAGATCTGGGAAATCATCCCCAAATGGCCACAGGATTCAGGTTAGTGAAATATTATAATTTACCCAGATGAGATGGGATAGGCGATGTTTTTATCTTTTTCTTCATGGCTCAATTAGAAAATCATCGAACTAAATGAGAATAAAAATGTTAAAATCTGATCAACATTTATTTTTTGCATTCGTAATCGGTGTTTAATATGGTTAAAGCATCCTGAAATTGGGATATACATATACAGTGGTGAATGGAGAAAGCGGTTAGGAGCTATGGATTTTGATCCTCTTTATCTTTCAAAACTGAAGGAACCACGGAGCCAGGAGTTGAATTTCTCATGTTGGTTTACACGGAGGGAATCATCCATCATTGCCAACATTGGGGTATGATACTATATACAGACCCATTTACTTTTACTTTAGTGGAATAGAATGGGGAGTAAGGGCACATAGACCAAAATCTATATAATTACAAAAATGTGATATGGGTGACTATCTTTTTGAATGAGCAATGTTTTTCCCCTTCTAAGAATGTTGTTGTCCTTGCCCACCAGCAGTATTCAAGGGTGCTTGATTTATTTGAGTCCTCTTGAATACATATGGGTCTCATTTTTTTTGGATACGTTTATTTATGGCCATGTTATCGGAGAAGCTCTGGTTTTTTAACCATAAGATTTAGGGCTAGCCATTCTGAAGGACAGGCTTTTGTGGTTTCAAACGTATTTTCATGGAGATGGGTTTTTCACCTCTACAAGAGAGTACATTAACTGTTTTGAGAAATATCCCTAATATTCAGATGTTCTCACGGCCCGGGATTAAAGAGTAACCACCTGCCGATATTTACTACCTTAGTGTTTCGGCTTTTTATTTTGATTTTCAACAAATTGCTGCGGAGTGGTAGTAAAAGGAGGTCTGTGTGTTTACTCTTTATATATATAATATTCCATTCTTATCCAAAATCAATATCCCACAATCAATGTACATGTATATGTATATACATACGTATTCATGATCAACTATCATCAATTCATTGATGAATGGAATGATTGACTATTATCTATGTTTTGCCATCTCATTGAATATCCATGAGAGTATTGACTATAGTGTTGTTTGGTAACTATGTATATCATCATTGAATACTGAATCATTAAGTAGGTATCCACAATATGTAATATTATATATATCCATAACTATGAAATGTATACAGATACATTATCATGGAATAGTTAATAGTTGATTAGTGACTATATATCTATACCATATATATATATAGTTATATATATATAGGTATATATATATATACATACCATTGGAATTCTCAACCAACTCTTCCAATGATTAGATGATAATGATGCCAGTCGCCAGCGCGGTGCCCAGGTAGCAACGACTCATCCCTGCTGTGCACGTCCACTGCAGCGCATCGTGATCCTTTTCGCAGCTTGATGTATAGCCGGAAACTCAGGAGCACCATCGGGAATGGGTCATAAGTTACCTATGAAATTGACATCCTGATACCTGGTTGCTGGTGACTGGAACCATGGAATGGATTATGACTTTCCAGAATCAGTTGGGAATGGAAAAATCATCCCAACTGACGAACTCACTCCATCATTTTTCAGAAGGGGTAGGCATCCCACCAACCAGGATACTGGGGATACCAACACCGTCGAGTATCGTCCCAATGGTCCTGTCTCAAGTTTGTTTCAATCCCATCACTATGGAAAACCACCATTTTTTTATAGCTAAATCCACTACAAATCACCATTTTCAATAGCTATGTTTGTTTACCAGAGGGTAGTTTTTAGTATCCTCTATTTGTTGCTAGACATGTGTTGAAAAGCATATCTCGTGTTGGATCATCCCGTGCTCTAAGGCACCAACCCCATGCTTTTCCGCACTGACACCTGGCGACTGCACGTCATGAGCTACATGACTCTTCTGCAGGAGCCCAGAAATTATCCATTTTCTGTGCTGGGGTGTTCCAAAGCTGTGGAAAATACCAAATATGGCCCATTGCAATTTGCAAGGTAGGTTTCCTAAACGTTATGTCAACGTTGGTGTTTTTGAACCCCATGGGCTCGATCGTGATATCAGTGATATCTACCAAAAAAATCCATAAACCATAGGGAAATCAGCCAGTTATGAGTCAAAAAAATCAACAACAATAATACTCATGATCCTGGAAGGGACACCAACTCGGTGGATGGGGATAGCTGGGCCTCCGAAGCAGTGGTTTTTGCGTTGAGATATGGATAAGTGACTGAATGAACTATGGTTTCTGGATGGTAAATATAAGATCATATAACTAACTGGAGGGCACAAAAAATGTGGTTCCCGCGTATTTTTTGAGTTTTGACTTTAGCAGGATGATCCCAATCGAGGATTTATTGAAGCCAGCAAGAAACTCATGATTTTCCGCCATCCCCACGACTTTTAGGGCATCCCGCTTTCGAGGCAGGTACCTTGAGTGGAGGTGTCAAATCTACCCTTTGGCCATAGCTATGGAAGCCATGGCCCATAGAAATAGATGATTTACGGTGATGTACCTATTAGAAAAGGTGACTTTCACGAGCTATGTTGAATTACCAAAAGGGGCTAAATGACATAGTTCTCAGGTGTTTAGATGTCTTTCATGTTCCAACGTGACAAGAACTCATCTTTAAAGTCCCCAAGTTGTTCCCTCCAAAATTATCCAAAACCAGCCACTGGCTAATCATCCTTTTCCCAAGTTGTCCCTATGAAAGCCGCGATAAATTGTGGTTAAATCCCCTATTCTCAGACACACCCAAATCATAATATGGGGGTTTCCATAAATGGGGGGTACCTCAATAGCTGGATGGTTAACGGAAAATCCTAATATCCTAATTTAAAATGAATGATTTCCTCTTAATCATCCCATTTTAATAGGCTTTTCCATTGTAAACCATCCAGCTATTGAGGTGCCCCCCCATTTCCGGAACCTCAAACAATGTTTAGCCAGGATCTACGAGCGGTCGAGGAGACCTTCACCAGCTCCTACACGTACCTTGGACAAAAACATGTGGATTTAACCATCATTTATAGAGGTAAAACAGGGAGATATGATGGAAAAAAAAACACCTAGAAAATATGGGAAGTTAAACATCGTTACCCTCTGAACTGGAAAATCACCATTTGTTAATAGGTAAATCAACTATTTCTATGGCCATGTTCAATAGTTATGTGAAAAATTACCAGAGAGTAACCATTATTTATAGAGGTATTAGCTATCACACTGCGGGGATATGATTCGGATAGAAAAACGGGTAAACTATAACAATCTCTGGTAAAAAAATGGATTGCTAGCTGGAAAATACCCCAACTCACTGCATTTGAATGGGAAAATATATTATAGATGCTGGATTTACTGGATTTTTGATTGCCATGGTTGAATTCATTCGGGTGATATGGGGATGGAAACCCAAAAATAATGGTTGAATTGCTGTGGTTCACCTAACGGAGTTTGGAGTGGAAGATCAAGTGATGATATGATTGGTACATTAACCCATATTACTAGGTCAATCTTACATGGATACGTTAATTCTAACTGTCGTCTTTTGGTATCAATGGGAATATCTACGTTCACCAGCAAAGAATTTGTCATTTTTTGCAGGGCATCTGGCTGATTGGCAATGTTATGGGGACATAATTTAGATACAAAAAGAAAAGCATATCTGGGCAATTTTTTCAATGACCTCACCAGCCGACATCACCAGAAAATGATGGGAGAAGTTTTTCAGGTTGGTGAACTATCAGAACTTACCCAGACTTGAAATATCTGATTATCACTATCAAACGCTATCCTATTGTAACTTTCAGCATGGTTTAACCCAAGATTTCTGGGCTGTCTGATGTGTTTCCTAAATGCTGAAGGAAAATTCTCCCGGTTTCGTTGCCGGTTTGTCCAGTCGAAGCAGGTGGCGTGTTGATCCCACCTTCGTTGGAATCTCAGCGGATATCGATGACGGCGCCATTTTTTCACCATTAATCCATGAATTTCTGCAGTATTAAGCCTTACTAACCCTTGCTAATCCCCATATATCTCTGAATTTCCATGTTGTTCATGTTTTCTGCTACAACTCGGGATAGACCCGCGAGGATGACTGTATCGAGGCTCGTTCGAGGCTTTGAACTCTGGATTTGTTCTGTTTGTCTAAGGGAGCCGAAAAAACCATTGACCCCTTGACAAAAGAGCCAACCTACAAACCTGTTCTTTTTCTATGCTCCGTGTACTGGTCAGGATGCTTTATAGACAAACATGCATACCCATGGATACCCCTGACGATGCCAATAAGATCTGCATGAGCCAAATCTCCATTTCATTGGCTATACCCCGAGTATATCCCATTGACAAATGGTTGGTTTATATCCTGCTAAAATTACATGGCATCATCGATTATTATTATATCCCCAGAAGACGGTAGTACTGTTAATCCCCCATTAAGATTGCAAAATAAAAATATATCATGGGTACATAATTTGAAGTCATGAGTAAAACCATATCATTAAACCATCATAACCATCCATCTGGATACATGAGTGTAGTTTATCCAGATATCGTCCATGTTGGTGGTTTTACCCCAATTGATCCCCCAATAGTAAAAGCATGCATTATCTTTATTTATAGTAATACTATCGAAATTGGTACCCTCTGGTAAACAAACGTAGCTATTGAAAATGGCCATTTATAGTGGATGTACCTATTAAAAATTGTGATTTTCCATAGTTATGTTAGTTTACCAGAGGGTACCCCTTGGATATGTGTTGGGATAATCATAAAACTGTACCACCAACGGTGACGATTGCAGGGATGCTAGCCCCCATCAACAATGGGAGACCCAGAATTGTGTGTTTGCTAAAGCATGAAATACTACAACTACATCCCCATTGACCCCCCACTAGTCCCACATCATTAAAAAACCACTTTATCAATCATCATCTTTCAACTCCATAATACTTTTTATGGTTAAAACCTCATATTTCCCACTCATCAACCCTTAATGGATGTTAATCCCCCAATTAACCCTATTCATGCCCTAGCAATAGATGAAAATTGCTAGCGAAAGGAATGTATGAAGAATGAATATCCCCAATTGCCAATTACCCATTTCACCCGCATGAATCCCCCACAAGTATAGTCATCATTGCTTTTAACCCCACCAGATGGTTGAAGTTATTTTTTGAAACCCAAAATGATGGTCAGCTGTCCCAGATAGTGGTCAAATCCCCATGACATCAATCCAGAACTATCTTCCCATAGAAATGATCGTGTTAAACTTCCATTCTACGTCAATCGACTGGATGGCTAGAAACTAATCCCAACTCTTGTCTTTTGCTATGGGATTATCTACGTTCACCACCAGCGAATTTCGCATTTTTTGCGGGGTATCTGGCTGATCGGTCATGATGCATCCGCAATGTGTTTGTTGGACGTCCCATGTTCAGGTGCTGGGCCTCTCCTTGGGTCTCTTTCGGCATCGACGCCTGGACCGGAGGTTCGAAAATGGGCTGACATCCACCCCAAAAACAGGAAATCGAAATAAACAGGAAAATTCGATGAAAATTGATTGAAGGGAAGATCTGCTAGAAAACCCATAGGCTTTGCCACATTGGGATGTCTGGCAATTTTTGCTTCTTCACTTTTGCCAGTTCTGGCACAAATAAAAAGCATGGGATCAAACTGGTGATCAAGGTCAAAGTCACGCTGGTACAAGACAGTTCCTTCTCAAGGCTGAATGGTCTTGTAGGTTGGATTCTTGCTCCGTTTCAGTTTATCAATCTTCATGTGAGCCAGCAGATTGCTTTCATCTATCACTATGTAGGGAGAACCAAATGTGGCCTTGGATTCAAAGTTGGGAAAGCTATTCCGTTCCTCATTCCAGATCATCATGTTTGCCATCCTGCAACCACCATCCGAAAAGCTATGTTTGGTTCATATCCTTATATTAGCATCCATGGGAATGGCGAAATATACCATGCCCAAAATGGTGACCCCAGTGCATCCAGTGCGAATCTCATTTTCCGCATTCAAACCCCCAGGCCATATGGGCCATATCCATTTCCGATCTCCGATGAAACTTTGGGAAACGCAGCAGGAGCATGCCTGATGCTGATGAAGATCACTTGGCAGCCTATTGCATCGAGGCACTAAAAAATGCAGGAGTGGCAAAGAATTGGGGTATCACCATATCAGGAATGTGGATCTTCTATCAGCAAATTTGGAGGTGTGCAATTTTCAGACAACCCCTTTTTGGGGAGTGGGACTTGGAGGGATTGCCTCCCCATGTTTGGTTAAAATCTGATTTCTGATTTGGAAAGTATTGCAATTTGCCCCGATATCCGCTTGGACGTGCAGGAGCTGGTTCCAAAGAGGTGATTTCACCTGGAAAAAAGAAGTGCGATAAGCATCGCTAATTGACGAGTCAAGGAACTAACCGACTGATTATTCACTCGCTAATTGGGCCCAGTTTTCCAGTGTTGACTTAGGTTTTGACACACTGGGATCCTCTCAGATCATCCTCTCAACGGCGTGAGGCGTATGCTGATCGCATTGATGAAAGAAAATTGCTGCAGGGAGTGCTGCTGCTTCGGCTGCTGATCTTTGTCAAGGTGAAAATGAATGAAAATCCTTGTTGGAACGACCATGAAAGTATCGGTTCGGTACTGAACAGAATTATCCGCTTTGCTTCTCAATGCGTTAGACTGGATCTAATCTCCAAGTGGTTTCTGTTGAGAGCTACCCATGGCAGACTATAAATCTAACACCTCACATGTTATTGTAGCTGTTTGGCCTACAGCAGGTCATGTAGTGCAAACACAGCACGGAAGTGAAGCACGGAAGGCTGACACAAACGCACAGTTGCAGATGGATCAAACGCACGGTGAAAATCCCCTAACTGTTCATGGTTTTTCATCAGCTTGCAGAAGGTCAATTCCACTCCTGTTTCACGGGTCAAAGACGCACATGCTTGGGCATCAAAATCCTAGAAATCAGTTCTTCCTGTCCCAAAAAGTCACCTTGAAACATCAGCTTTTCACAAGCACAACAGCTCAGCACTTCGCACAGCCATGACCGATGGCGACGATGGATCCATCGAAGTGGCAGGGACCGCAGAAAGAGATCCCTCGCTTGCGATACCCCCAGGACTTGTCGCGCGAATCCTTTGAGCGCGATTTCGCGTCAAAGAGTGAGCCAGTCACTGGGGCAATCGAACTGGGGCAATTTCATCAGCTTGGGCTTGTCTTAAATTGTGGCCTTCATATCTTTTTTGCGCCCAAAAAGATGGAAAAATAGCTTGACAGAAATGGATCACTATTTTGGTCAGAGATTCTTTTTCTATCTTTTCGGGGTGGTTGCTGTAGGTGTAAAAATCGCGAGAAAATCTCAAGGATGATCCATGATTGTCAACTAGTGATTGATGTCTTCAATTCAAACATATTTTCCATGATGGGTCGAAACTTACCACCAGAATCCATCTAGATGATGTAAACATCAGAGCTTCATGAGGGCTCTGACCCATCCCATATTATATCACGTTTATGCATAAAAAATGGATGGTTATCCCACGCTGTTCAGGTGATCATCCAATAATGTTCGATGCAAACAGCATCCGTATATAATAGTGATAGATACAGTATCATTCCCAAGAATCCATTCATAACCCCTATAAATCTATGATCTTGAAATGATCAGATGTTTGGAAAGAATCATCCCCATAGAATCCCTATTTCTATCTTGAAATTCAACATTTCAGGTTGATGCAAACATCATCCCCATAGAAGCCATATTTCTATGTTGAAATTCAACATTTCAGGTTGATGCAAACATCATCCCCATAGAATCCCTATTTCTATCTTGAAATTCAACATTTCAGGTTGATGCAAACATCATCCCCATAGAATCCCTATTTCTATCTTGAAATTCAGCATTTCAGGTTGATGCAAACATCATCCCCATAGAATCCCTATTTCTATCTTGAAATTCAACATTTCAGGTTGATGCAAACATCATCCCCATAGAATCCCTATTTCTATCTTGAAATTCAACATTTCAGGTTGATGCAAACATCATCCCCATAGAAGCCATATTTCTATCTTGAAATTCAACATTTCAGGTTGATGCAAACATCATCCCCATAGAATCCCTATTTCTATCTTGAAATTCAACATTTCAGGTTGATGCAAACATCATCCCCATAGAATCCCTATTTCTATCTTGAAATTCAACATTTCAGGTTGATGCAAACATCATCCCCATAGAAGCCCTATTTCTATCTTGAAATTCAACATTTCAGGTTGATGCAAACATCATCCCCATAGAATCCCTATTTCTATCTTGAAATTCAACATTTCAGGTTGATGCAAACATCATCCCCATAGAAGCCATATTTCTATCTTGAAATTCAACATTTCAGGTTGATGCAAACATCATCCCCATAGAAGCCATATTTCTATCTTGAAATTCAACATTTCAGGTTGATGCAAACATCATCCCCATAGAAGCCATATTTCTATCTTGAAATTCAACATTTCAGGTTGATGCAAACATCATCCCCATAGAATCCATATTTCTATCTTGAAATTCAACATTTCAGGTTGATGCAAACATCATCCCCATAGAATCCATATTTCTATCTTGAAATTCAACATTTCAGGTTGATGCAAACATCATCCCCATAGAATCCCTATTTCTATCTTGAAATTCAACATTTCAGGTTGATGCAAACATCATCCCCATAGAATCCCTATTTCTATCTTGAAATTCAGCATTTCAGGTTGATGCAAACATCATCCCCATAGAATCCCTATTTCTATCTTGAAATTCAACATTTCAGGTTGATGCAAACATCATCCCCATAGAATCCCTATTTCTATCTTGAAATTCAACATTTCAGGTTGATGCAAACATCATCCCCATAGAATCCCTATTTCTATCTTGAAATTCAACATCATCCCCATAGAATCCCTATAAGCTTTGATTTATAATCCCCATATATTCACCATTTCAGGTGATCATCGAAGGCCTGATTTCGGATTGGCCCGCCTTCTGCGACCCGCAGCGCACCTGGCGCGGCACCCGCTGGGATGAACTGCTTGGGGACGAGGTGGTGGACGTGGGCTTCGATCCACTGGATGGACGGATGATGCACTTCGGTGATGATGCGGGGGAGCCCCAGGTGCGGATGGGTCACCATTTTGATGCTCCTGATTTGGGATGGGATCATATATGTTACATGTGTTATATATGTTATATATATATATATACATATAGCCATGGTATATGGGATGTTTATATTGCACACAATATGAGATCTCATAGTGGTGAATGATGATGATATAATGATGAGGAATGGTCGTTAATAGTGGTTAGTCATGCTGAATAATGGCTAAGAGTTTATAATCCCATCCTGTCCGTGATATTTTTTCAATAGCTCCATTTGAATATTCTAAATACGTGGTTTCATCCCCTACTAAACCATGGTTTCTTGGCGGGTGTTCAACATTAGGAAGGGATAAGTCTGGACAAGTGATATTGCGACCGCACATAATGATGATGTTTAGTAAATAGGAGCATTTCCCGAGCCGATTGTTTCAGGTTGGTGAGTTACTTTTAAATTGATGTAGATATGCTAGGATGGAATGGGATTCTAATTCACGGAGATAGATGACATATATACCCTCTGGTTATTTAACATAGCCATGGAAAATGGCCCTTTTCTAGATGGTTTACCTATTATAAATGGTGATTTTCTATGGCTATGTTAGTCCTAACCAGATGGTATATATATATATAATACCAACAAGATGAAGGTTTTCTCCAGAAATGGGGAAGCCCTAGTGAATTTCGGGAAAATCATCAGGAAACCGGTGAGGAAAACTGCAAAAACCTCCTCCAAAATCCCATTGAAAATCATTCATGCCGGATATGACAACTTGGATTCACACTTTGGAAAACTCTGAAATATCGGTCACGAATGAACAGGAACTCTCCATTTAGATCCGCTTTTTTTTTCGGTAAATCCCGGCTTCTATGGGACTGTGCTTACCGTCCACACCGTCACCGTCCATCGGGATGATCTTCGAAAGGTGCTGTTGAATCCCGGCCGCCTACGGATGCCTTGCTGGGCCTTCCTGGAAGTGGCCCGACTGCGACAGACGATCCTGCAGCTACGGCGGGAAGGCATAGCCGCGCGTTTTAGCGTGAACTGGGAATCTCTGATATATATATACTTAAAGTGAATGAAAACTAAAGATTTAGATCCCAGCTTTGGTGTCTTGTGATATTTGCGATTTACGGATATAATGGTGGTGTAATCGGGATACCATCCGGTAACAAGTTGCTCTGGAAAATAGCCTGTATTGGAGCTGTATTTGTACATGATTTACCTAGTAAAAATGGTCAATTTCCATAGCTATGTTAAATCACCAGAGGGTGATTGTTGTGAATTTGTTGTTGCAAATTATTGTAACTCTATTGCAAGTTACTATCATTATTGTTTTTATTATTACCAGTTATTCCTTAATTGCTCTTGTGTGTGTTTATTGCTTTTGTTCGAAGCATTTGGATGCCATGGGTCAAGGAATGCCCTAGTCTGACAGCATTTCACGCCGCAGGGAAAGTTGATCTGAAACGACATCCGGAGTTGCAACGTCGACTCTCCAGTTGGGCGTACCCAGTGGCACGGGTCGCCGAGAAAATCCCAAGTCTTTTTAGGGGATTGTCCGTCCAATTCGGCGAGATTTCCCAGGTAAGTTCCTGTCAAAAGCAAGTGGAGGCTGCTTTTGGGAAAATCCACCAACGGGTGGAGTTTTAGGGGGCATGTTGCAAGACATCATGACTATTTATCATTAGTTTTATTTATCATCATTATCATTCAAAAAGTTTGTTTTCACAATTTCTCCCTGAAAGAAAAAGAACAAGAATCGCTGTCGACATTGCGCAGTCAGGAGAGGTCTCGGTTCAGAATGTGCCCTTTCTGGCTGTTGATGCTGAGTCACCGTCACTCGGCAGGAGATGATCAGCACAAGCAGAGATAGAAACTCTGATAATGTCAACCACGGATTGTTTGAAACCAACATTATCAGGCATTATCAGCGACATGATCAGCGTCATTTATCTAACAATCCGACATTAAACCTGCTTGGCTTTACCAAATTACGCGACATTTCCACAGCCATTTCGGTGGTTGCTGGGTTTCTCCAACCGTGTGAGGCTGTACCTGTTCACGCCACAAACCTGCTGCATGCGCGACTTGATGTGCCTTGGAGTCAAAGCACATTGGTTTTGGAGCCCGAAATCTAACCTTGGTCATGTTGAAGAAACCAATGGTTTGGGGTATCTCAATTTTGAGATATATCGGTGTGTATACGGCTCCATGTGGGAATCGGGCGTTATAAAATGAATATACGTATATATATATATAAGCAAACAAGATCATTATAGGTGTCCTCCCATGGAAAGCGGAAAGGTGTTTCCAGGATGTAAAGAATTATTGCCGCATCCTACACCAAGGTAGTGGGGTCAGATGAGCCATAGCCATACTGGTTTCATCCATTGCCTGTTTGTGTCCCCGTATAATGGGAATACCCCCAAATCCAAGTCAGACTCATTAGACCATGACTTAGTATTGAAAGCCATGGTGACTTGGGAATCTTACCCTCTGGTAATGACTAGCATAGCTATTGAAATTTGCACATTTATAGTTGGTATACCTATTAAAGATGGTGATTTTCCATAGTTTTTGTGTATATTTACCAGAGGGTATTTGGAGCTGATCCCAATTTGAGCACCAAAATGTTTTGCTGAGGCCATTGTCATTCTACCTCTCCCACGACACATACTCCTTGCCCTCAGAGTTGCAAAAGGTCACGTGTCGTCACCATGGATAGCGGGTCAAGGCAGTCCTTCAATGTCCCAGGTCATGAACCCTACCCTCTGGCAAACCACAAATAGCTATTGAAAATGGCCATAGAAATAGTGGATTTACCCATTGAAAATGGTGGATCTTTCCATAGCAAACTGTTAGTTTACCAGAGGGTAAGTTGGGGTTCACATAACTCCAATTTCACGGGAGGGTTTATGGTAGATATACCGAACTACATTTCATGGGGGTTACAAACCAACGTTCACATCACTGGGGGGGGCACCACCTTGTTTAAACAACAAACAGCTGTGTGGGTGTTCGCATAAAAACAGGCATCACTGCAATTGCCGAATTAGGTCTCTCATCACTGTAAGACATAAACTACAAGAAATTGCGGTGTGCCACTGTCCCTGCGAGAAATGTAGAACCCACAGTGAAAATGGCAGCAAACCTACTCCACTCGCCTAAAAAAGGAATTGCTGGACAAACCTCCAACAGGCCCGCACTTGCAAAGAGAACCCCAGATTGTACAATGCGCGGAAAAACCACATTGCAGTGGTGGGCGGCAGGGTAGCAAGGCAAAGGGCTAATGGAAGGTGCCCAGGGGGCGCATGGGAGTACTAAGAAGGAAAAAAAAATGCAAATGGTGATTCTGTGCCTCAGAAGTTGTCTAGGTGGGCATTTTGTACAGGATCCATCTGGTTGTTTTGAATGTTTTCTATTTAGCTTTAAGTGTTATAGTTCGATCATGTTTGGATGATCCCCAATGACAAACATCTTGCCCATTTCGACGTCCCTAGCCTGAGAGTTGCAGATGCTTCGATGCCTCAAAGAGCCAAAAAGGAATGGTGAAGTAGCCATGGTTCGGCTTTCCCAAAAGTCGCTTCAATCATGGACCCTGGGGGGCTAAGGGGGGGGTGTAAGTAGCTTATAATATAAAGGTTTACTAGGGGCTTCTGTGTAAGGCCCTATTAGAAGCTTAATAGAATCTTAATAAGCGCTTATTATAAGCTTTATAAATGCTTATCCGTTAAGCTCTGAACAAGGCCTGGTTAAGCCTTCAGCCAAGGAGCCTAGGACCAAGGTATGGGAGAGTCTGCGGAGGGGAAGGGCCTGGGGAGGGTCTGGGAAGGTTTGGGTGAGGATCGGAGGGCGGTTGCGGACGTTGGGGTGGGGGGATTTTGAGGGATTTTTTGAGGATTTTTTTTGGGGGGGAGGGGGTAGGCAAATTAGGTTGGGAAACAAACAGGCTTATCCAAGGCTTATCCTTTAAGCCCTGGATAAGCCCTTAATAAGCCCTTATCAGTTTTCAACCAACCCTGAACAAACCTTGGATAAGGATCTTTTGTTTCATTCATGGTTGGACCAGAGAATAAAGGCAGTTTCTCTGGCGTTGGGGATATCTGATAAGCCCTTATTAGGCTCTTATATGATAAGCTACTTAACCCCCCCCTTACCCCCCCCAGGGTTCCATGATTCAAAGAATTGTCAAGCAGAAACCTAAGGTGGTAAACTGGCATAAACCAACCCCAAGTCACCATGTTTATAAATCATTCCCAAATGGTAGGTTAGCATTCGGTTGCCCACATTAATCCCCATGGTTTGGCCCATGGGCCTCCGCAGGACTTAGGGCCTCAGGCATGGCTGCGACAGGATTTCAGGATAAAAACCAGTGATTTTGCCGAAAATGGGAATCATCAAAGTATGGTTTTGAAGCATCAAAACTATAGGTGTGTTTTACAATTTTGTTGAGTTGTTTTTTGGGGGGAGCTTAAGGCGGTTAAGATGATATTATCAGAATTGGATTGGGAGGATAAAATGGATAAAACCCTATAAAACCATATAAAATTAAATTAAAGGATGGAGATGGAGATCAACAACCAAGAAGACTTGGCAGCTTTTCAAATCCCGATGATGTTCCTGCTGTTCTGGCAGCCATCAGTTTTGCGCTATTTAAGGAGGGATCAAAATAGATTGTGCTGGAATTCCAGTTGAAAACCCTGCCATATCTATGTGAAGGTCGATTTAATACAGTCACAATTGACTGGAAATCATCTGGCGAGGGACATGATTCCCAAGGCTACCAGGTTTGATGATGATCCCACTTGACTTTCATCCACTGTTTCGCGAGTAATGTTATTAGATGCTGTTTCGTATTGTTGGTGTTACTATTACTATTATGATCATGATTATTGTTGATTCTCATCATTCTTGAATGTTTCTGACATATTACAAAAATCTTGTTGATTCTTGTGAAATATATTACCCTTATGAATATGTATCTATATATATATTATCATTCTTGAATGCTTCTTATATTTTTGATCCATAAAGATGGTGTTATATTCTTAGATCTTGGTTAAACGTTTCATTGAGATTCCCATCTGGCGAGGCTCCCAAGTTGATCGAAGGATGGGCCAGTGCCTCGGCTGTCCCATGGGATCCCATAGCTGGGTCATGGATCGTCATTTCATGGGATCCATCTATAAATGGATGAAATGGATGGGCGAAAAAAAGTGGAAAATCCGATTTTTTCAATTGTTTTGTTTTTAAAATCCTAAGATGGGGGGAAAACCCAGTTTTGCTCATTTGATGGATGTTTTTTTTTCTAATGTTGATTTCAAAATCCATCCTCTGATTTGGAGAACTGGGGAGATTCCCATGACTTTGTAAATCTATATATATATTATCTTTGGAAATGTATGTATATATATTATTAATATTCTATGTATCTATATATATATATATATATTATCTATGTATAAATCTATATATATACATTATTTGATGAGAATTTTCAGAAGTGTATATATATGTGTGTGTGTGTAATTCTGCTATATGCACATGTTTACAGGCATGTGTGCATATGTATATTGTCTATATTTGTGAATGTGTATAGGTGGATGGATGACGGAACCGCCCCAAAAACAAATCAGATTGGTGAAACCAAGATTAAAAGATCTATGGTTCCGTGGGTTTCAGGAATAGATCGCAGGCCAAAACCATGGATTTTTAAAACTTCAAATCTTGGGTCACTGGATTTGTTGAAGGGAAAGTCTACAGGAAACAGGAAACCATGGTTTTTTCCCAGAAATATTGGGGTGTTCCTTTAAATCTTCGAGACCCAAAGATGAGGTTCATGTGAATTGTCCTCTTCTGCGGGTTGGAGGTGAACCCCTTAGGGATGCACCCCATATGCGACACCGTAAATGATTTGGTGATCATCCAGATTTGTGGGATGTTGTGACTATGCTAAGTGCAAACATGTGAAAGTGTGGTGATTGCGACTGACAAAAACTAAAACTCAGCCGGTGTTTGAGTACATAAGGAGGATAGTTCATATTGAAGTCTGAAATCATATCAGCTGTGTTTTTAAACAATCACCGAACAGATGTTCCTTCTCGAACATGTCCTTCCTGCATGAGTATGGCGCTGTGGTGATAGCAAAATCTGTGAGTCCCAGCGGTGATGTGCATCGCAGTGTTTCAGAATGACCATAATCCAGTTCCATATGGGATATACCCCATTACTATCAGATACATATATATATAATTGCTGCTATATCATTACATCTACGGATTCTTATATATGTGCATATATATATTGTATTATATTGTATTATAGTATTACTACATCATTACATCTACTACAGATATTGCTATTCATCTATATAGTACTATTCATACTATATATATACTACTATCTATAGTTGTTTATAGTTACTTTATAATCACTATTCATACTATCCATAGAAAGTAGTTAACATAGATATCACGATTCATCAAAAAATAGAGAAAGATGTATATAGTCCATCTATATCACTCTACACCTACAGGATGGTGCCCCCAGTTATGTGAATGTTGCTTTAGATCACCCCATGAATACGATCGTTCGTGATATCTGCCTAATCAACATCAACAAAAACCAGTTCGCTGACCGTTCGTTATGTTCAGCATACAGATAGGTCACATCCATATTAGTTATATCTACCCTCTGGTAAACATACACAAAACTATGGAAAATCACCATTTTTAACGGGAAAATCCACTATAAATGGTCATTTTCAATAGCTATGTTAGTTTACCAGAGGGTACCTAATCAACCATAGTTCAGCCACAGCTCTCAACTTGGCTCGTTCGGCATCGCAACGCAGGTCCCAACTCCTCCCGGATTTGGGCGACCAATGGCGCACCATGGTGGCCCAGCTTTCAATGGGAACCCTGGGAAAAGATGGTCAATTCATCTAAGATGGGAAAAACATGGGAAAACCATGGGAACATCATCTGTAAATGAAGGTGTCTGGGAAAATCATCGAAGTGAATCTTAAATTCAGATCATCATCGTCATCATCATCATCATTCAAAATTTCCCTCATTTAACTAGCATCTACGTCATGAATTTCGCAACGGGTTGAGGCGAGTGCCCTATCCGCCCTGGTCGGATCAGACGGTGCCAGAGCCCGGTCAGGCTGAAACTGAGACGGTCGGACTCCATGGTTTCATGCAAAAAAACTACCTCAGCAAATGGTCATTTAATGGTCATTTAACCATGAAAAACTGTGGGTGTTTACATGTGGGTGTTTACATGTTTTTACCATCAGAAGTGGTGATGAAATTCCATGAGAAATTGGGGATTGAGCTAAAACGGATGCTTTTCACTGGTGATTCACCTGACAACATGTGGACTATGCAGCAAAGATTTCCTCCACTTGTTTTTGGGTAGACCTTGTCGAATGGGGAATCAGAATTCTTTCATGTTTTGATCTTTTTGTAATGGAAGTGATATCTTCCCACCGACCCCGGCCGTGGTATATCAGGGTGATCTCCCAGACCTGGGACGAACCAGTGCAGGACACCATGATCTACAGTTGCTTTCACTGTGACCGTATGGCAACTTGGCATCACAAATGGACCCGGCGGAGGTGTCGACGATGGCCATGGGTCAAAAGTGAGCCTCCGGTGTTTTTTCGGTTTGCGAACTGGATGTGTGTTCCATTTTTAAGAGGTGGATCAGGAAATCCTCATCTTTATCATAAGGCAATTTTCCATAGCTGTTAAGAACCAGAAAGTATTTTTCTGTCGCCCATGTCTATTCTGCGAAGTCACTGCCATGAATTCATCGACAGGTTTGTCTTAAAATAGCGTACCCCATTCCTTATTATTTGATGGCCGTAAATTTAGGGGATGCATTTTCAGATCCACATGTGATGGAGATATTCCCATGTCCCCATGACACGTCTCAGGAGAACTTCCACTCGATCTTGGCCGGTGAGAAGCAGGTGCATCCCGTGAAGATCCAACTAACCAACTCAGATGACTCACAGGACAACGCCTCAGTGGATGATTTTTCGTGGATGAAGAATTGGGGCTTCCCGGGCTGTTCCTGAGAATGGGATCCCAGAGGGATCCCCAAGTCGATCTTTTCATTGGAGGCTACTGTTGAAATCACCAGATGGATTTTGTTACCAACGTGTGCAATGATGGGAGCTGCAGGCTTGTCCAAAAGTAGGCTACACTGGGTGTACCTCTAAATCCAATGGTTTATAATCATGTTCCCATTGAAAAGGACTATTTTGGAGGAGATGCTCCATTTTCTGGAAGATAATGTCACATATCCAGCTGGTGTCCCATTATAGAATGGTGGTGCCCATATATTCGCATATATTCCAGGTGGTGTTTCCCGATAGATTTCCATTAAAAGGACTATTTTCCCATATATTCCCATGTATTCCCCATTATATTTCCCCATGTTCAGAGCCAGGTGGTTTTGGTGCCGCCCGGGCAACGCGATGTCTTGAATTCCACGCGCTTTGCCTCGCAGAAGTTGGGTGTCCCAGGATTGTCCGGTGATTTCTGTCGCGTTTTCCCAGCGGATGTCGCCAAATGAAAGGGATGGTTGATAGAGATATAGACATATAATGATATATATATATGTATATATATATATGTGTGTACATATGTAGTTAAGCAATATAGCCAATTAGATTATGGGGACCCAATCTAAATGGCAAAAAATCATATGGTTATTAGCTACGGATCAAAGGGTTTTTGGAGCCACTCTGGAAGGTCCTTTGGTTCCCAGGAGAAACCACACCTCGATGATATGGCCTAGCCATTTGTGGCCTGCCAACCAGATGTTCAGGATGTGACAGGGTTGGTGATGATATTTGGCTACAACTCAATCATGATATACCCATGGTTTGACACCTATCGAAAACGCGATGAACTTTTTCATGTTGACAAAATGATTGATACTCAATCCCCCACTATAATCATTGATACCCATATTTTTACACCCGTAGATATTTGGTACAAGATATGTTGTGGCCGTGGCCTAAGCTACCCATGATGTCCCCCATGATTACCCAGGTTCGTGGAATGATCATGATGATCCCCAATGAATTTAGCCATGGAAAATGGCCCATAGAAATAGAGGTCTACCTATTAAAAATGGGTGGATTTTCCATGGCTATGTTAGTCATAACCAGATAGTAGATCCCCCGGTGGTTTTTCTCAGATTTTTCCCTTCGATTTACCATAAACATTGATTTTCCATATGGTTGGTGGGTAACTTCCCAATTCCGATTACCATCGAAAGCACCAGGCAGTGGCTGCTGGTACCGATGCCCGGGCCCAACAAGCCTGGGGAGTACATGTCCTCCACCCTGTGCGGCAGCCAAGGAGAGAACAGCTGAGCTGATAGCGACTAGGTCAATCTTATGGGCAGTTTAATCCTTTGATCTTTTGGTATGGGATTATCTACGTTCACCAGCTAAGATTTTTTTTTGCAGGGTATCTAAGATTGGCCATGGCTAAATATGCGGGGGCTCCATAATGGGGTTACCCCAAAAAGGATGGTTTACAATGGAAAAGCCTTTAAAAATGGATGATTTAGGGCCACCCCTATTGCAGGAAACCTCCATATACCTTGGGGAGATGACAATTCACATATGTATCAGAATATGTTGAGAGATGAAGATCCAAAAAATATTGGGTAGCATTCTGGCAAAATAGAAGTGGCTATACAGGGATAGGAAATATAGGGAGAATATGGGGAGATGAATATAGCTATGAATCTATGAACAGAACCAGTCGCAAAATATTGGGTACCCCTTTGATAAACTAACGTAGCTGACATAGCTATAGATAATTTGCCCGTTGATAATTGTTTTACCTGTCAGATTTTTCATAGCTATGTTAGTTTACCACAGGATAAAGCAACTGCCTCATTGCTTGAGAGTGGATGCTACTGAGCTATTTTGGTTGCTATTTTGATGGATACATTTTGTTGCATGATCTCTAAGATCGAAGCTTAACGGATAGCTATGAAGCCTAAGATCAGGACATATTAAGCCATCCACTTTCACCACCCATAGCCCCACATCACCAACCTCTGCTCCGCGTTACAGGTTCACTTCCAAGCAGAGCGAGTGCACCAGCGATCAGAGCGCAGTGCATCCCTTCCGGTCGCCCGAGGAAAATCGCAAGGCGAGACGGAATCTTCGCAAGGCGTCAGCTGGTGATACCATGGAATAATGTAGCCTTACTAACATCTATTCACCATGAACAGCTTGGTTTTATGGTAAACCATCCGAATTCTTTGGAGATGGTGATTTTACCATCAATTTTATCATCGAAGATTTAGAGGTTGACCCAAAAAATGATGATTGATGGTGAAATGATGGCTTAGACCGACCGCTTTGGTGATGGCTCATCCAACTTTTGGCAACCACCAGTAACCAACCACTACAAGGGGATGACGGTGATTGGCATCGCTCATAAGTTCGCAGTTCTCAGTGGATCTTGTGGAGAATTTCGGGTGGAAAATGGCCAAGTGGAGCTCAAGAAAAAAGAGTGCATGGTAACTTTCATGAAACAACTCCGTTTGGGATTTTAATTCCAGATAGTTGATTTCTATTAAAGCCACTGGGGTGGGTTTGGTCCGTTATTCACACGATGTCAAAGCAGCAATTAGCTGATAGCAGATGCCCGAGTCGCCAGAAGATAGAAGTGACAACCAACCAAAACTATAGGAAACTGAGTGGTCTTCCATGTTTGGATCATTCAAATCCCATCAAAATCAGCCAATTCTTTTCCCATTAACTTTATTAACCCTCCATTTGGTCCCATAAACCCGCAATTTTCATGGGCTCCTCCACATGTTTCCTCCGAAAAAACTATGGAAAACCCCCAGGTCTCCAAGGGCCAATGGCCCGACCGCGTGGACTTCCCGGTGCGCTTCGGCACGCTGCGGAAGGGCGACACGTGCCTTGGATCCATCAATTTACGGTGCCGAATATTTGGTGATTAATATTTGATATGAATATGAGTGAGTTATGTAAGGTATAACCATGTTTGAATCATTTTACCAGATATGAACAGGACATGAATGATCGAAATATATCATACCTAGTAATATATGGTTAATTAATGATAATAGTGGTTAATTACCGTGATCATAGTGGTTAATAGTGGTTAATGGATGGTGAAGAATGGATAATAATGGTTATCATAATGGTTAATGATGGTTACCCTCTGGTAAATGAACACAACGAACTGGAAAGATCCAGCACGTTCAATGGATAAATCCACTATTTCAATGGCCATGTTCAATAGCTATGTGACAAATTACCAGAGGGTAATGTCCTGTTTACTAGGTCAATCCATCAATTATATAATGGATTGATGTCCATTAATTAATGGTTAGTGGTGATAATAGTGCTTCCTGATGGATAATAGTGGTCAATCCTACAGGGAGTTGTAGCCATCCATCAATGTGAATATAATGGGAATAAAATGGAATATAACTAGGTCAATCAACTGGATGGGTAGAAACTAATCCTCACTGTCATTATAATCACAGGTAATCCATTAGTTATAATGACAATGACAATCAACATTGATAATGATAAATCCATTGGTGCAAACCAATCTGATGGTAGTCATTAACACAAACCACTAAGTGAGAATGATAATGATAATCAACATTGATAATGATAATTAACATTGATAATGAGAATGATAATTAACATTCACCACCATTACCCCATAATGATAATGATAATGGATACTAGGTGTTAATGGTGGTTAGTGGATAAAATAGTTTAATAGTTGATAATAGTGGTTACTGAAATACTGGATGATAGTGGATAATAGTGGATGTGGTTAATAGACCTTAGTGCGCAAACCAATCTTCCAAAGCCCAATTTGGCAGGGTCTATGTTCATTTACCGGAGGCAATAGTGGTTAATAGTGGTGAATGGTTCACAATATTTTTTAGTAAGAATATTTAATCGTGTATATAACACTTGAGCAGTGGCTGCGATCCACCCCTGTTGATTAATTGTTAGTTCTGGGTTTATGCTAACAATCCACTATGGATTTAAAAAATATTTAAGGTGGGACCCCCCGGTTACGTTTGTTGGTTTATATTACCCCATGAATACTAGTTCGTTATATCCCTCATAAACCCTAGAATTCGTCAAATGAACTAAGTCAACTTAGCTATCATTTACTTGGGCCCCACCTTGTTTGCGTTTGTCTCAAGGGTACAGCCAAATCCCTTTGTTAATCATAGTTGTCCCTCTCAAAATGGTCATTTTCAGATTCGCCCAAGAATGGTAATCAGAACATACTTAAATTCGGGTTTTACCATCAACGCTGCGGGTTTTGATGCAGAAATGGTGACAGAATCATCACAACTGAAATCAAAGCCTTGTATGGATTTTGATGCAGCAAAAGCATCCAAAAGATGGAATTGGTATCATCAGAAGATACCCTTTTTGAGTATCTAATAGAACTCGCTTGTAGCATCAACACGAAGGATTGTGATGCACCAAAAATGAGAGAAACTGTACAGGACACCGCCATTAATTTCCATGGCAAAAGCCGCCGTGGGTTCGGTTTAAACCGTTAAAATGTTCCCTTGAACCAATCCGTTGATTATCAATATATCCCATGGTATCCCAATAAAATCCCACAAAAATGCCCATGATCTCACCATAATTTGTGGAGTCCATTTGATATCATCATTGGTCAACTCCCAATGTGAGTGGCAACCCCGAAATCCCATATGACCGTTTCAGTCTACAAAAATACCCAGAATTTCTTGAAAAAATCTGCGGGAATCTCTCCAAAATTGGGATATCTTCATGATTTCTATAGGAGATTCCCCAAGAACGTCTGACTCCGTGACCGGTCCCAGAGTTCCCAGAGTCTCAGGCTCTACATCCCGGCGTACCATTGGCACTGGGTGGCCACCTCCACCCCACCATCCTTGGGTCTGGAAGATGATGGGGCCCTGGCCCTATCCGTGAACTTTTGGCCCTGGCCTGAGGGGTTTCACCGTCCCCGGGCCGTTGAGGGACTAATGCTGCTATTGATATTGGCATCATTGGTCTTCTTTAAAGGTAACGAGATATCAGAGAAGTGAGTGGTTGTTATGAAATATCAGGAATGTCACCACCGAAGATTGGTTTTAACCATTCAAAATGAAGGTGTATGAGGATGTAATTTATGTAGGATGACTGATTGGTTATGAGAAGGGAGTTTTGCTGGTTTATTGGGGCTAACTACAAGCCATAATTGAAGGGAGACCTATCATTGATCAAAATTTCAGCGGGACAAGTGAGGATCATTCCTGATACATTCTTGTTGGAGCTTTGATTTGCGAAAAAGCTTGAATTTTGAATTGCAAAGGGATCTTAAAGAAAAAGGAAGGGATCGTATCATGACATTTTCTCAGTGATGTAACATCCACTTTGTGAGTTTCATAGCGATTCATAGCTGACAAAATACTAGTGACGTGCAAGGCGTTTCCGTGTGACGCTTCGATTCGATGAGGTGGTGGCCCATCCACAATGACAAGGCCATGGAGCGGTGGAGCTATCAAAACGAATGTGAGCACAGGACTCAGCTCAGCGCGTGTCAAGTTTGGTCAAGTTTTGTCAAGTTAGAATGTAAAGATACGTAAAGAATGTAAAGCCTAAAAGACTGGAAATTCATAAAATCCAAGTCTGAAGTAATGGTTGATATGGTTTCTCTTGTTTTTAGTAGAATCTGTGGATTTTGTGCTTGATACCTGTGTGTTGGAGCCAGTTGTTCCGACTGCACGGCAATTGCAATTGTGCGCTCAGGTCATTCCAAAATGCGCGGATACCTGTGCCACCCCCTTGGATATGGCAAATCTGAAGCATGCGCTGGCGTTGTCGGGATTTTGTTTACATCACTGCATGTTGTTTTCATCCAGTCTGTATTTAAAGTTGGATAGAGGTTGTTTGCAGTTTTTGAATGTCTTATCTTCTCCAATATGAACTTGTTGTTTCGCTGATGTTAACTGTCCAATAGATTCGCTTCACCGCTGTCAGCCCTTGACCCCGGAATCCTTGATCTGAACAAAGAAAATCGGGTATCTACACTTAGATGGATGAGAAAAACACGATTCCTGGTTGGTTATAACCCACGATATAAATCTATAACAATTATAATCTCTTTAACTAATCTAGCTAAGAGCCATTGCATCGCCCCAAGAGCAGGAGCCATTTCGAGGTCCAAGCCCTTACCCGAACGAGCAGCGCATGCGCTGTCCTTTTATCAACTGACCATGAAGCAGAGGTGCGACAGCGGCCGAAAGCGGCCGAGTTGGGAATAAAGCACCAACAAGGTGGTGCCCCCAAGGTTTTTTGTGAAGGTTGGTGAACATCAGCCCCATGAAAAAGTAGGTCGGTATATCTACCAATCTACCCTCCCATGATTTCTTGGAGTTATGTGAACCCCAACTCTTTGGAGATTTCAGCTGGATTTCTCAACTTGAGGACTTGGATGTCTCCAAAAAAACTCGTCCTGGTTTTCATGTAAGCCACGTTTAACCGGGCTTTTTTCTCACCCATTTTTGATGATCCGAAATCCAATGCCACAACTAGTCGTGGTTTGCATTGTTTTCGTGGTTTTCATTGTTTTTGTCCAGCCATAAATAAGCCATACAACTAGGAAGATATATAACCTGTAATCTAAAGAACACTAGGGATATTCCATAACTGGCCCCTATGACTACTGCTTGGAGGCAGGAGGCTGCAGTCCCAAAACCGTGGCCCACAGGCACTGGGAACCGTGGCAGTCCCTATAAAATGACCATGTTCATTGGAAATATGAGGTTCTAAATTTCTAAAGTATCAAAGTTGAGGAGAGGCTACCCCATTTAATCCATGTGTGTTTGTGGTGCCGATTTGATTGGTCTTAAGCCTTGTGATTTCACTGCTTGGACAATGGAGGGTTGTCCAGTGCCAAAACTTTCCGAGACCGAAGACTTGCACGAGAATGTGCATATGCTGCGATCCCTGAAGTGCTGATTTTACCAGGTGAGACTTCGAGGTTTGACACAGGTCATCAGATCTGCAGACTGTGAAGCTTCACAGAAAAATGACCAAGATTCTGGGAACTTCGGAGATCTCTGATTTTCACCAATTTATACAGTTCCGGGTGTTGACCACCGGGCCAGGCAGTTCCAAAGAAGACCGCCATCCAAAGCCGGCCGAACAGAGGGACGGCTACACATCCAAGGTGGAAGTGGATACAGTTCCTAAGCTGCAGGACTGAAACCTGCATGATGCTGCATGACGCTGGGTTAGACCTATATCTCACCTAGTGGTTGATAGTTTTTTCCGCACTATTTCACCGCGATTTATTATATCTCATGTGTCATATTGTGAACCACTCAAGTTAGCGCAGCTAACAGGTCAGCTTCAGGGCTTCAAAGCTGGCTGTGGGATTGAGCAGTTCGCCATCCCTTTTTGATGTTGGCTGGGTGATATTTCCATGGCATTCCCATTATATATATATATATTATGTATACATATATATATATATTGTATATATATATATTATGTATATATATATTATGTATATATATATTATGTGTATATATATATATTATGTATATATATATATTATGTATATATATATTATGTATATATATATATATCATGTATATATATATATATATATATCATGTATATATATATTATCATGACATTATCATGATATTCTCGTTGAAAATGATTGGCTTTATACTCCCAACGGATCTTGTTGGATATGAACCCCAAGATGTTCCGTTCTGGTGAGTCATGATCCCCAACGATGCCCAGTCGATCAAGTTCGAGCTGGTCGACTGAACTGAGCAGTGGCCATTTCTGGGATCCCCGGTGCTGCATTGCTGAAATGGGGGGTGTCCTGAGTCATGGGGGGATTATTAAATCATCCATGTGATTTTCGGATTTTCCGGAAATAAACCATCCATTTTGGGCTAACCCCATTTTAGGAAACCCCAAAATTTCTCATGAACACTACTGTAATAGATGTTGTCTTGGCAAAAGCATATAGAATTCGTGATGTTCGTTTTTGCTCATGTCATTTCTGGGATGTTCATACTGCAGAGCTTGTCCATGATATATCCCCATTTGAGCAGTGGCTGCGTTTGACACTCCTGTTGGTTGATGATTTTTCGCGGGGGTTGTGCTACCCAATATATTGGGGATTATCATTATCCACTATGGCAACCCCTATGACCTAATCCGTACAATGGAATGACAGATGGTTTTGACCCATCCCCATTGAGGTTTATCTGAACATTTGGATCATCTGGTCTCCCACTTATTTCAAGTTTGCGGCAAATGATGATTAACCAGCGGATTGAATGAGGCGGTACCTAACTTTCAATCCCGGATCGTGGGTGACCGCAGAATATTTTTTCTCCGATTTGTGGCACCCCGTTGATTTGTCGGTAAAATTTACTAACGGAGCAGCCAGTATTGCTATGAGGGAATATCACTATAATTCACTATATATTACACCCATTTTGATATGCCCCCATAATTCAACATAGTTCCTTTGTGTCCACTGGGGGATATCACTATGGATGATGAAAGTCAGGCACTTAGCCGGTTGGCCACTGCTCATGGCCGCAGCAATGTAGGTTTCGTAGCTAGGGTCCCCGGCGCTCTTTGGCGCTGTGGAAATTTCGCACGGACAGACATTAAAAATGGTGCGATCCATGGATCAGGAGGTACATACATAATTAGTAGTAGAGAATTTTGATCTTGCTTGGTGGTGCAGCAATGGTTCAATATTTGAAGGGCTCAGCTTTGCCCCGCCGCAGCCACCAAGCTCAGTTGTTTACATCACTGCTCAAACAAGTGTTTCAGCAGCAACGCACGGCAATGATGTTGGATCTTCCTTGAGGGTTTTTTCTGGTCATGAACAAAAAAGGATGAATATAGCTCTGTCTCATCCCATTGTACTGGTTGCTTCGGACATAGTATCTCATGGTGTTCATACTAATCCCCAATAAATCCGTTAGTGATGTGTTTTCTTGCTGCCAAAACGCCCCCTGCGGATATGGAGATAACGTGTCCTGCATGGCAAGATGCTGCACGAGAAGTTGTAACATAGCTGGCATCATACATCCATGTATCAAGCTTTTATCTATACACACATCGTTGTAACATATTCACATGATAAACCATCAAAATATAAATACATAATAATTATTATTGTTATAACTTACATCAATAATATTGTAGAATACATATGTATATGTCTGAATATTTATATTTACGTTGATATATGTATATATATATATATACATACTGTAAGGGATTATTATGCATCAAGAATGTTCAACCATTTTCTGAAGCACTATTCTCCCATGATCATCCAATCATCCTGTGGGAGTTTAGCATACATTGGGCTTCCCACTGAGTGCCAAACATCTATGGTTAACAGTGGTTGATGATACTGGGTCTACCGCCTGGTTAGATACTGACTACAACTTAATCTGGTGCTATGGTAAAATGTATGTTAACCAGCTAGTTCTGTTTGTTGGCATCTAAGTTTCATCATATTATGGTAACCCAAAAAATTGATAGAAAACTGAAATCCAACTAAAGTAGTGAGACTTTACCTAGTTTACTCACAATTCATTCGGGACTCTTTCCACTGATCCACATGTGCACACTGTTGTGTTTCAAAATGTCTCTTGTGGTTTGTCCTTTGTTTGTTTTAGGGGCTTTGTGGAACTAAAGAAAATGACACTGTTGTGTTTCAAAATGTCTCTTGTGGTTTGTCCTTTGTTTGCTTTAGGGCTTTGTGGAACTAAAGAAAAAGAAAATGATACAGATGTCAATACCGTGTAAGAAATATATACCCTCCGGCAACCAAACATAGCAATGGAAAATTCACCACATATACTTGACTGTCGCAGCTATAAACCTTCATTTATAGCTGATGTTTCCCAATCTTCACCATAAGTTTCTACTGCCAGATGCTGAGGCAGGAGATTGATGAAAACGTCAAGGCTTTCTCTCAGGTGGGCGCAGTCCAGCCACTAGGGTTGAGGATATAAAGACTGCCACTTTTTATGGTCACCAGTCGGAGGATATATGGTTTGTTTAATGTCAGAAAATGATAGTTTGAAGCACTGGAAATGGTGGATTAGGCCATTTTTGAGGGGAACGCTGCAATGCTGAGAAATCGCATCCAATTTCAGTGAGGCTTGCGACAAAGACGCTTAAGATGGAGCTTCTGCTGGATGAAAAGATGCAACCAGCCATGGATGGGAACTCCACCAACAGAAATGAAAAGTTTCATTGGATGATTCGTAGCAACCTTAGGGTCTCATCATGATGATACCTGGTCAACCGACTGGTTAGATACAAAATGTACTTTAACCTTTTGCTATCAGTGGTAAAATTAGTGCATTTACCAGATCAAAATTAGAGCTTTTTCGCAGGTATCTAAGATTCACCATGGATATTGGGCAACCATCTTGGCCTCATTCCGAAAATCAGATTTGAGATTCATGGTCAATTGTCCAGTTGGTCAAAACTCAGTTTTGGGCTTGTCCAATTTCGACCCATAACTGTCCAAAAACTGCACCCCGAATCACCCGTGCTTCGCTGCTCAAGACAGTGGACGAGTTGTTTTAAAAGATGCCAGCACAGTGCCACATCAACAGCACCACACTCCATGTTTAAGCCATCATGTTGAATCACAACACTAAACACATCTAGCACACGGAAAAAATCATTGTCACAACAGGTAGGAGGTCAGTCGCAAGACGACTTGATTTCTGTGTGGAAATAACGTCACAGCAGAAATGATGGGAGCGAATAGATGGAGTTTTGCGCTTCTACTGGCTGCCGCTGTTTGCATCTTAGTGCTGCGAAATTCTCCAACAATATGGATCGATACCTGGAACCAGCAGTATGGTGAGGTGAACATCCGTCACCGGCTGTTTCGATGTTCACAATGGGTACAGGATTTGACACAGCTGTACTGATATGAAGATACTCTCGTGCAACTTGTTTTCTTGTGAAGGAGTCAAAACGACCTACATTTCAGCTCACATGCTATTTGAATTCGAGCCGAGTATCATAGAACATCAAGATGTGGCTTTGTTTGGAAATGGGGTGTACCCCAAAAAGTGCATCTTCATAGGAAAAATGATGGCGGACAGTGGAAAGGTATCCTATCTTCAGTGCAGAGCGCCCTCCAAGGCAGCGGTGGCAATTTTTCCCAGTGCCTTCATTACTCCTAGGCCCGGATGATGCTGCCGGGAAGTGTTGGTTAAGAAATGTTAAGAACTTCCGGATTTGATATGTTTCGTTTAGGTAGGGGCAAAAAAGATCCATTTTCCCATCTTGGTCTCAAAATACTTCAGCATCCAAAGGGGTTTTGGTGCAGGATTTGGGTTTGGGAATACCATCAGGGCGAGTGCAGGCAAGGAAATCAACCCTCTCCGACTTCTTCCGTCCTGGGCGCTAGCAAGCAGAGGCCCGAGAGACGGAAGAAACCCCCCGACACGAGGATCGTATGACTCATGGGCCAAGCAAGTGGAGAAGGTACGATTTGCCAAATGTTATGACCTGGGGATGAGTCAAAACCTATGAAATTACCATGTGACTGGGGGAATAAACATTCAGCTATACCAACTACAGGGTACCATTCGGGTACCATGCTGACCATGCTACATCCCAGCTCAGGCCGCTCTCGCAGTCAGTCTCACCTCTGGCCGAGGACTGCGTCTCACACAGTATCTGAGTAAACCTTGCATGGATGATGAGTGAATTTTCAGCCAAGTTCATGAAGAATTCGATTGATGTCCATGGAATTCATCTTTTCCTGATACGAAATACTCCTCGCCAGGAAGAGGTCCAGGGCTCACATCTCAGGTGCAGCCTGTGGGACTTTGGGGCCCTGATTTTTGGTCACAGCTCAAAATGTGTTTGAAGGCTTGTTGAGGATCTGGTAGCTCTTTTGAATCGCAAAAGTTAGATTACTGCGCATGAAATCCAGCTTCTGAGGGTTTTAGCATAGGTTCAAGATGCTTCAAGCGATCCCTTGATGTGAAGCAAATGCCCTGGTTCACCGCTCCAATCTCCGTCAGTTTTGGGCTAGTGCTCGCTGCCGTGGCGCTGGCTGGTCGTAGCCACTACAGCAGGGGGGCCCGGAGCATGGATCACGGCAGATGGTGCGGATGGCTGAAGTTTTCAGGGAAATGTGGTTGTTCTGGATGTAGCTAATCAAAACTAATCAAAAGTCCAAGATCCCAGGTGTGTTGCTGATCCAAATTGAACACTGTCACCATGACCAAAGACCCAATCTATTCTAGAAACGAGACTCGGAAGTGTGAGGCAATGCAAAAGCTAAGAGCGGAATCCGCTGCCTGGGACCCAGCATAGTTCCACCTTGAGCCACCAGCAACTTCCAAGATCCAAGAAAAACAGTGTTTCAAAGGGGCTTTGAGGGTTTGACTGGTGGTTTGGCTGGTGGTTTCAGGTTGATTTCTGACTGTTTTTTCCCTGAAACGAGCGCTCCACTAAGAGGTCTGGTTTCCCACCAGGAGTTGAGTATCCCTGCTTCAGATCCGAAGGTGTTGCCTTGCAAGCAACAAAGACCACTGCTCAACCTACGAAAGAAGAGAAGCAAGAGAAGCAAGAGAAGCAAGAGCTCGCAAAGTCGGCAGCCAAGTGCATCGCTGGATTCGAGGGATGATGGGATGGACGGTCACAGAAATCACCACTTAACCACCTGTTGAGTTGATGGATTCCACTTGAGAATTGCCATGCGATAGCTGACACGGATCGAACACTGATGTGAAGTGCCTGAACACAGGTTTCGAAGGCAAGAACCATACATTGAATACATTCTCATGCTTTTTCTTATAGCTGTTTCCTTCCCAAAATGCCCAACGGTTTCCCTTGCCTTCCAACAGTGAGCCCCATCCGAATCGACCGAATCGTTGATCTCAGGAAATCAGAAGTTCCTTCCGACTTGGACTGGAGCCAAGTCTCATCGCAATGGGAGGTGGGCTCCAGTGGTCTTCATTGGAGGCAGCTACAGTGATGGTAAGTGGATAGTAACATAGAAAGTAACCACAGGTCTGAAAAGCCATGGGATAGCTTGGACAGTTGTATCAACCCTCTGACCAAAGTGGCAACTTTTTGAGATGGATGATGAGAAATGCTGTGATGCTTCAGCCCTCCAAGCCAAACGCCATAGGAATTTGAACTACAAACGTATCTGACGAAAATTCGACGTCAAACTCCGCACACTGCAGGTTGATTGTTTCAGCCGACCTATCAATCGAGAGGGAAAGAAGATGTGGGAGTCTGCCCGGCGCAAACTTTGGTCCTTTCAGCTTTCAACAGGAAGCTTCTCTTCTAGATCTTTTGCAAGCTACATGATGATTTTAACATGTGTTAACCTCATTTGTGTTTGATAGTAAATTGAAACCCACAATTGACGGTAGAATTCCATTAAAACGACATCCTGAGCGACAGTTTGGCTTTTCCGAGTGATGTCACCTGTGGTTTGCTGGAAACGGAACACACCAAACCACTTGCGGCCCAGTCATGGCTCAACATGAACGGTTTTAGGTCCATCTTGAACCATGACAGCATCACAACACATCGACACAACAAAAAACATCAAAAAACCCTTGGCTGAGACGATTTGTTTCTCCCAATCAGTTGATTTCGGACGCCATGGCAACGCTCACCGCTCCGCCGGGCTTGGAGCCCGTCGATGCCGAGGTCATCGAGGTGCCTGCAGGGACAGCAGCGGGCGCGCGGAGGAAGCTGTTCGATCCACATTTGGAGCCGGAAGCCATTGAAGATGGCCTGGCCTCAGGAGATCCCCAAAAAAAAGAGGAAAATGATGTGAAAAATGGGAAGATCTATGGTGATGAACTATTTTGGACATATTTTTTAACTGGCTTTCTCCAAAAATGGTGTATATCCCAGAACTGCTGAATCATGGGTTCCTAATTGAATTACAAGTTTTGTTTTTCCTTTTTGGGTTGTCTATTTTCAGACAAACCCATATGGAGAATGGTTAATGATTGTTTAATATGTTAGATGGATTCAACCGTTGCTACCTGGAGAATATCTGGATCCGTGGAATCTGCAGTTTTTCACAACGTCCATTGGGCCTGGGATGCAAATAGTATGATGTAATGATATTATATGATATGTGGGTACTGAACAGGTACCCATGTAACGTTTCATAAAATAAGAAGTCCCAACTGCTGCCTCCACAGGATCATTGATCCGTGGCACCATCCGAGTGAGCAGCTCCAAAGTTAGCATGGCCTTTGTGCGTCCCGATGGTGCCAAGAGCCAGGACCGTGAATGGGTGGTTCGTGGCACCAAGTATCGCAACCGAGCGGTGCATGGGGACACCGTGATCATTCAGCCCATTTTGTATGGCCGAAGCGAGGACCAGGGTTGGCGGTGATCGTGGATGTTCTAAATCCATCAAAACGAGATCTACTTCCTGATTCTGCGATTTGGGCTTTTTTGTTTCGCACCTCTTGAAAGGACGTGGGAATCCTTTGGTGTACCACACATCTTAAACCTCTTAGCAGAAGCGTTTTGGGCCCCCCCCGATGGCAGGATTCTTCTTCTGAAGATGAGCCGGTGATGGCCACTGCTATCGCCTCGGATTCGGATGAGGAGGTGGTTTTTACCAAACCCAACGTGGCTGGAAGTGCAGCTATTCAGCGCGATGAGGAGGACGCAAGTCATCCAAAAACAGGGCAGGCTATTTGACCAACAAAAAAACCTAGTGAACTGAAGAAAACGGGATGAAAACACCTTCTTTATTTGGGCTGGGGCATAAAAACAACCATGTTATTTTATTTCATGGGAACTGATGCTTATTAGACCAAGAAATGTTGGGGTTTAACCATCTAAAGTGGGGATATAATGGACGACTATAAACCAATGATGACCTGGTTGGTGGTTGCAAATATGTTAAAGTGTCAACCATAGAAATGGCAGAAATGGGATGATGGTCCAAGTTGCCAAGCTTGTTTTTCGGCCCTCAAAAAGGATGATGCAAAATAAGGGATGGTGATCCCAATGGTGAATCCGTAATCTGTTACATGCATGTGTAACTATGTATGTTTGTTCATGTTTTTTGTAACAGATAAACTTAGGCACCCAATTTGAGGAGGTGAAAATGGCCAAGGTGGTCGCAATTGCAGAGAAGAAGGGTTCAGGTCGTGTATTGGTTTGTACCCTGCATCCCGACCGACAAAAAAAGGGCGACGGCCAAGTGCATGCCGAAGATAGCTTTGTGAAAGCTATTCCAACTGACAAGCGTTTGCCCACCATGCTGCTACAGATCAATCATGTGACCAAAAAAGTGCTGAAACTGCCTGGGAAACTTGACCCCTTCATTTTGTGGCCCATGCAGATCATCACGTGGAACGAATTTTCCAAGCAACCTTTAGCCAAGTTTCAGGGTCAATGTTTGGGTCGAGCTGGAAGTCTAGAAGCAGAAGAGAAGCACGCATTGATCGCCAATGAATTGGATGATCATGATGTTGACTTCCCCGATGATGAGTTGGATGAGGTGGATGGAATCGTGAGAGAGGCGAAGGAGAACTTCCTGTCGGAGGTGGCCAAGCGAAAAGATCTTCGAAGCCTACGGATCTTCACCATCGATCCAGCCACGGCTAAAGACTTGGATGATGCCATTCATGTGGTGGATCTCCCAAACAAGAACCAGATTGAGGTGGGAGTTCACATCGCTGATGTGGCCCATTTCCTGAAGCTGGGGACCGTCACTGATAAGGAGGCACAAAGGAGATCCACTTCGGTGTATCTCATTGGACGTGTGCTGCCTATGTTGCCTCATGGCTTGTGCAACCACCTGTGCTCGTTGAACCCCAACGAGCCCAAGTTGTCCTTCTCGGCCTTCTTCCGACTTTGCAAACGCTCAGGGAATTTGATCCAGGATCCTGCACCCTGGTTCGCCAAGACGGCCATTTCCTCAGTGTGTCGCCTCAACTATGATCAAGCACAGGAGGTCATTGATGATATCGAGATAGAGGAGACGAAACGACCTGCGGTGCATGGTGGTTACACCTGGCAAGAAATCAAAGATGACATCAAGCTGTTGTATGAAGTCTGTGGCAAAGTACGAATGGGAAGGCTGACGGGAGGTGCAATGACCATCAGCAAAACCAAGATGACCTTCCGATTCAATATACAGTGTTTGTTTGTGTTTGTTTGTGTTTGTTTGTATTTGTTTGTGTTTGTTTGTGTTTGTTTATCGTTATTCTTTCTATCTTCCAGCTTGGTCACAAAGAGTCATTGATACTTAAAAACCGACAACCTTTGAGACTTGAATGACAACCCCCAATGATGGCATCACAATCGGCATTTTTCGAGGATTTTTCACACCATGGACAGTGAAGATGGCATCCCCATGGGCTACCACTTGGAGTCACACAGTGCATCTCATTGGGTCATCGAGGAGCTCATGCTGTTGGCCAACCGCTGCGTTGCCACGCGTTTGTTTAACTCGGCCATCAAGGATTTCTCGGTGCTGCGAAATCACAAACCTCCTGAGAATAAAAAGGTGCCAGTTGAATTCACTTCACTGTTCAAATTGGTGGTGCCATTTAAATTGGACCTAGTCGAAATGATCAAGTCACTTGAAGAGGCTGAGATGCCTTGTCGTTGGGATGAAAGGTAGGGATTCGAATTCCCCCACAGTCAAGTTTCTTCGCACGTGAGTGACATTTGAGTATGGAACATAAATCACGGCAGGGTGAGGTTTCATCGATGGCAAGTCCCATTGGCATCCATACATGTTGCAGAGAAAGTCCACTTATCTCTCGATTATATGGAAAAATCAGACGTCAAGATGACAAAATGATAACCACACATTCTCGAACCTCATCAAGTGACCACTTCATATATTTCTGAAAAAAAATGGGTAGTGAACTAGCATGGTTTCTCTCCCATGGACTCATGGATGTTGGGTCACCCTAGTCATCCTCACCCTGGTCACGATAGGCACAGACTCTACAGAAGCTGATGCGCGAGCAGCTCGGGATCAAAGACTTTGACATGAGCTGCGCCAACGCCATCTACAAGTCCTGCCAAGACATCTACGAAAAGCATGGCAAAATGCTGGGCCTTTGCGTCGAAATGATGGTCATGCGAGCCGGAATGCAGCAGGCCGAATACTTTGTTTGTGGAGTAGATGATGAGGACAGTTGGGAAAATGATGACTGGCTTTTGTGGAGTTAACTTGTCCAAACTGCTGGAATTGACATTTTGACCTTTCCAACAGATGCCTGAATCTGTTTTCACACCCTGAACCAACCAGGAGGACGATGAGCCAAATCCACACCACTTCGCGCTGAATTTCGATTACTACACGCATTTCACGTCACCCATCCGCCGCTACCCAGATGTCATGGTCCATAGGGTTCTTCATGCCCTGCTGGAGAATCAACTTAAGCCTAGCGAGCGTGGTGAGAGTGGTGAGACTGAAGTGGATGATGAGAATGAGGACGAAGATGAGAATCCAACGCGAACACGCTACTTCCAAAGCCGCAAAAGAGCGAAAGAGCAGGTGAAGATTTGCAACACCAAGAAGGTCAATTCGAGAAGATGTCAGGAACAGCTGGATCGTGCCGTGTTTTGCATTTTCCTGCGATCCATGAAATCCTGGTTCTACACTGTGGGTACTGTCCTTTCCTTGAATCACTCGGCTCGAGATGGAGACGGAATTTCGATCTATTGCTCTCAGCTGGGCAGAGAGAGCAAAGTGGCCCTTCGGTCTCAAGACCCGGAAGACGAGGAAAGCAATGAAAGCAAATTGGAACTTTTCATGAACGAAGTTGATGATGAGCTCATGCTGCCAAAGAATTGGGAGTGGCAAGGCCGAGGTGGTATCCAGATTACTTGGAAATCTCCAGATGGCAGTGAAGAACACATCCAAAAATTGCAGATGCTGTCCTGTGCTCCCATTGTGATCATTCCAACAAATACGGTCCCCATTGACTATGCCATGTTCTTGGTATCTCCATTCCACAAGAAGTTCAACCAGGTTCGTAAGGATATTGCTAAGGAGGAGGTGGATGGCTTTGCTTGGGCAGACGAAGAGGACGAAGAAGGGGTGGAAACCTGTTACGACGCATCTGGTTACCCCGAAGCCGCGTAAAGCTGTGGCGACGACCCTGGAACTGGCTGGGTAATGTCAAGCACTGGCTGCTGTGGGAAAAGATTTGACAGTGCTGAGGTTGCTTCAAGAGGCCACCTTTAGTCACAGACCGTATTGAGAAATTCCATTTGATGTTTACGGCCTGTTTGTGTCGTAGTGTCCATAAGATCTTGAGCTGGTAGACCCACGTTACTCAGGTGACCTTTGCCGCTGGAGGCCAATTTCCTTTGACAAAAAATATAGGTTTTTAAGCATAGATACACGATGAGATGAAGTATATATATATATATCATTATTATTATTATTACTATTATATATACGTATACATATACAAAAACATATGTACATATGTACTTATGTACTTATGTACATATTGATTTAACTATTAGATGACTATTAGATAGCAATTACGTTTTGGAGACCTAGTATATCTATATTATCTGTCTCTTGTACCCGTGACCATTGTCAGTCGCCAGGTTAATGGTCACAGATGCCAACGGCGTCTACCGCCGGGTGCGACTCATCGGACTCAGCGGTGAACAACTGAAACCAACAGATGGTTAGGATCTGTTAACTGAGTTCCATAGAGAACCATAGATATTATTATGATAGATAAATGGATGAAAATGTAATCAACCTCAATCAACCTCAGTTAACTGGATGAAAATGATGAAACCACTAAGTTTTCACAGTCGAAGTTTACTACAACTGAATCCTGTGCCAGCTATGCTACGAAGCCAAAAGGCTTGTTTCGCAGGATATCTAAGGCCATGTTCAGACGGTCACTTGGAGTCACTTTGTCATGTGATGAACACCTTTTGTGAAAGTCATCAAGATTCATATTCGAATAAATTCGAAAGACGAGTCTCTTCATGTGTGGGGCGCATTGCATTCAGGACCTTATCGATTCAAAAGTCAGATGAAAAATCCCAGTAAATTGCCAGAGAAGGCTTGGAAGACACTAATGTGGCTCAAGCGATAGTAAACCATCCCCAAAATCACCATCAATGGGTGGTATAAACCATCAACTCATATGGTTGGTTTATGGCATTGCTTTACCAACAAGGTTTTGCCCCGGGCACAGCGACACAGGTCGCCCAGATGAAACCCACGCGTGTCAACTCCGTGGTGGCCTGAAGCTCAGGGCCGCGATGTGATTTTCCCGGTGAAACACCACCGGGCAGCACAGCCAGGTCCAGAAACTCATGACCATTTTCATCGAGGAATCCAAGGTCAAGCCACAGGCGTGGGTTTTTTTTTCGTTGGGAACCCATGGCAGCGATGAAGGTGATAAGGTGTGGGACACGTTTGAGTCAGGAGTTCTGATTGAGATTGTGATGTTGCGGATGGTTCGTTGAAGAGTTTTAAGAGGATTTGGGGAGTGGGTGTGAGCAGCTAAGATGGAAAAAAAGCATGTCGAACAAGACACCAAAATATTTAAATATTTTGTTCATGTTTCCGCAAAACCAAGCCGCCAGAATTTCAACTTTAACAAATTCACATCTCTTCCAGTTGTCAATCTCCCACTTTCCCAAGACAGTAAGCTTGAATGCATAGATCCATTGCCGATGTGTCCCTGCCATCGTCCAGTCCATCCGCTTCTTCCGCAAAGTGATGAAGTCACTGGGCTTCAGTTGGGCCATTCAAAATATCCCTGTTGATTGGTTATAGGGGGTTGTACCTGCCCGGTTTGTTGGGGATGATCATAATGGGAATATTTGACCAACTATAACGGGTGGGATAGGGCCATTTTCTACAGTTCACTTGGCCAAAGTGGACATCTTTCGGATCCTACAGGAAAGTGTGTCTCCGCTCCCATGTGGAGTGTGCGGAACAGAGGTGGAAGGAGATTTGATGTGATTTGTTGTGTGCGTGTGTAGTGTGTGTTCTGTGTTGGATTTGATCCCGCTCAACTATCTACAGTAGTGTTGCGGCTCCTTGCTGAGGAACATGCTTATCGTGGCACTTAACGCTGTGAAGGACACCTTCGCGGGAGTGACAGATCTAAGCAGTCGTGTATCTAGGTGGGTTGTAGGGTTCCAAACATTGACACGTTGATACACGTTGATGAATGTCACGAAAACACAATGGAATTGGTAGCTTGCAATAGATTTGGTGGGGCCATGGGTCGCATTTCAGCCGAATTTGAGGATACTATGCCACAGTACATGGAGAAGTGCAAGATCATCCCAAGTGGGCTCCATGTTTGTCAGCAGATTCCGCTTTTGTTCCAAGCACTTTTCCGCATTTGTGATGACTGTAGGGAAGTTGACCGGAGATGTGTGGATGAAATGATGTGTTCACAACATTTTCTTCAGCAGTCAAAGTGATCCAAATCGAAAATGATTTCTTCATTGTAAAGTGAATGAGTGCAAATCTGAACCAAAGAATTTGGATGGATAGATAGATAGATAGATAGATCAATAGATCAATAGATCAATAGTTCAATGGATCAATAGATCAATAGATCAATAGAAAGATCGAGATAGAGATAGAGACAGAGATAGAGGTATTATTTTATTTACATATATACATAGTATTATATATATATGTGTATTTCTGCGTATGTATGTCATGATGTGCCTTAGCGGCTTCATCAAAACTCCCCCCGCGCCAGGCCGAAACTGCCACATGCTGCGGCTCTGGCTCTCATACAGAGAGCGTGAGGCTCGGAAGTCGCGTCGCATGTTTTGTTGGTTTACTATGGTTTACTATGGTTTACTATGTTTACTATGTTTACTATAATACTGTTGGTATGTTGGTAAACATACCCGTGAATGATCGATAATACTGGTTCATGATAATAATGTTGGTAAAGCAATGATAAAGAACCACCCGATATGGATTGATGTTATCATTTCCACCCATAATGGTGTCGGGGAGTGCGGATTCTATTGCTCTAACTGTGTTTTTTCTATGTTTAAATTCACCAAGGTCCAAAGATGGATGCTGATGTTGTTTAAATTGCTGCAAACAATCTCTCACCTGGCTCTGTTTTTGTAGCGATGGCCGTGGCCTTTGGTGCGCAGGTGTATCCCAAGATGATCGGATACACACCACCTGTCAAGAAGAAGACCACGAATGTGCAGGCCGAAGGGAACCTTTTGCTAAGAATTGGATGTTTGCCATTGGGTTTTTCCACATTAAGGCTTCGTTCTCAAGACATACCAATCTAAAGGCCCCCCTGTCACAAAATGTTCATCAGTGCCTTGGGCGCTCAGGCATCAATGGTGAAGATGGCATATGAGAGCTTGCCAGAAAGGCTCTTTTCGATTGAACATTATGGTGCTGCAAGCTGTACATTATCTCAATCGCAGTGACGACTACGTTGATTTTTTTTGTTGAGTCTGTTGTGGACAAACTTCCAAAGTTCTGATTTTCAAAGGCATCAGTGAAATTGACCCCAAACCCTTGGCTTTTCCCATTTCAAACGTTGCTTTGGCTGAAACTTCCACAGGTTGCGATTCTCCCGGTATGCCATCTCCGCCGTGCCGCTGGGAGCATTGGCCAGAGTGAAGCCAGGGCGGGGGCCTCAGATGGGTCGATGCTTGGGATACGGCGGATACGGGATATGAATGAGATATACCCGAAAAAAACAAGATGAAGCCCACGAACCCGAATGCTCACACGTATGTTAATGGTACAGATGTCAATACACATGGCGTGTCTCAGAATGATGCCCTCCCACATGGCCATTCTAGTGGATATGATTGCGATTGTCCGGTGGATTTTTGGAATACCCTATGCTCAGAGAAACCTGCAATATAGTTTGGGTGATTTCACCAATCCGACAGATCCATTTTCAACTGCTTTCAGGTCAAGTTCAGTTGGTTTGGCCCTTTTCTCATTATCATTTCAAGTGGTAGGCCAGTGGATCTATATTCCCTGCAGATTGCACTAGATGTAATGGGTATGTTGTTTCGTAGCAGGTGGCTTTTTCCTTTGTCACCGACATGGGCCATGCAATGGACCATGTGGCTTTTGGCGCCAAAGATGAGATACCTGGAAACTCAATGGTTATACTGGATTTGCCAATTTTTCAGGTGTAACTTTGTCACATCAAGCTTCAAGGGATGTATTGGCATTTGTCAAGCCATACCTTTTGCTTGGGACACTGATGCCTTGCTACCCAGGCAACTTCCAGGATCACTGGCTCGCATCCCTCCTGGCTTCAGTGACAATGCGCAGGCCATGATATGGTGAGGTCAAGATGGGGCAGGAAGGTTCCAGGTTTGTACCGACCGAATGCAACGTGCTCGGCATATTTGCAGTAAGGGGAAACTTGCGACTTGGGTACCCTGTGATAGTCCAGATGCTTTGGATTCTCATTTTGTTTTGCAAAACGGTGCGCTTGTAGAGGCTTCACAGGAGCTACGATCTTATTCATCAAATATCTGCAAGCACATTCATCCCCTTGGAATTTTCAAGTCAACTTGATAAATTTTGAGGAATCATTTCTACCATTAGCCCTTCCGGAGAAAACAAACCCATGGCCCATGCCTGAAACTGATCTCAGGTCTATGGCATCCTCATCATGACATCCAGGGCTGACAGTCCAAGCGGCATGTTTGTCCTGCTGCTGTAACATTGTCGCAATATGTTGCAATGGCGCTGAAGGTGCGGTTACAACTTTAACAGTCGCGGAAAAGTGTTTTGCTGCCTGTTTTGCTGATGCTTTCAGCTGTCTGATGTCGTGCGCATGCACAACTTTAACAGCGCTTCAATGCAGTTATTTGTTCTACTTTGCGATCAATGGAGATGGCTTCAGTGACGCGCTTATTTCTTTGCTGATATCATGCACGTTTTTGAGGAGTATCATGCCAATCAAAAACAGCGGGCTAGCATTAGATGCCCAAACATCGCAGTACAGCTGGTAAAAGAAAGTTCTTGGCAAGGTCCGAAAGTTGGCTTCCTCGGGCACAGTAGCACTAAGGTTACAATATCCTCTATAAAATGCGGATGCTTCTCATTTGTTCAAGAATGCAAGTTTAGAACTCCAAGCTGATCAAACGTCTCACCAGTACAGCCTGCAAAGTCCTACTGCTGCATGATGTTTTCGCA